AGGCACTTTGACTTTGTTGTTTGTTATATATCGCCTTCACACATGGTTAGACTGTGGGCACAAGCCTGACCAAGGCTAATGAATCATTAAAGTTCAGAAATGGAAGCCACTGTGCCAAAGCTGTTCAAAGGACTAAGCAATTATCTTCGTAAGTATTCTTTAAAAAAATAAGGAACGGAAATAACCAACAGCAAGCACCCTATGCACCTGTGCTTATATTTACATGCTTAACTTTCTGAGTAAACTTTCACAATATTTCCTTATTGATGCGCATGGACACATATGGTCAAGCATTTATAAACATGAGGTGCAGATACTACTAAGGAGCATTAAACTGAGTAAACTTAAATTGGCATGAATGAACAGTCCTATCTTCTTCCATTGTTAAAGAACCATACTAGTGGTTTTGCCAGCCATACAGTAAGTCAACAACAAAGAAATGCATATACTTAATAGTAGATACAAGGAACTATTTCCCAAAGCATATCTCAAAGTTTTTTAGATTGGTTTCCCACCTTCCAGGCAGCTATTTGTTTCAGTTTATGTCAGTAAAGTCTGATAATCAACTTGCAGTGACTTGAAACTTCTTTCAAATAGGAAATGCATCACTGTGCACATTCAGGGAATGTTTTGAAAACACTTGGTTATGAATACCTGAAAGCACTATGTCGCTGAGGCTGCTGGAGGTCCTATTACACATGGAAGACCAACAAGCAAGGATGATTCGAAGTATGCTGGCGCTGTTTGTTGCTGCTGTGCAACAGATTCTTGAAGCCTTGGATCCTGGACAAGCATTTGAATGCACCAGTGTGGAGGTTTTCAAAACACACTATTCTGACGGTTGACTTTGGCACATAACTTAACTTTGGCACTAAATAAAGTGACTGCATGTTGCTGTGATGGATTGCCTATCAGAGATTTTTTCAAGTACATTTTCTTACCATATTGAAATAGCTGCCTTGAATGCTAAAAAAGATTTATAAAAAACGTGCTTTGGGGAATGGTACAGATTTTTAGGTAATCATAAAAACATGCAAAACTACTGGTTTGGCCCTTTAAGTGCAGTGGGGAAGATTTACATGTTTTTATCTAAGCCAGCTGGCTGTTACCTGGCTTTTTCCCCCCTTTACCCATGGACCTTACTATTAAGTTTACAAAGCAGCTGGCTGAAGCAGACTGATCTACATGCTAATCCAAAGTCTGTCCACGACGTTGTGTTCTGTTTTGATTTGCTCAGGACGGCGGGGAAAAACTGAAGGGTGACCCAATGGATCTTCGTTTGGATATAGAGCGCCGTAAAAAATATCCCACCCATGAAAGAGATTATAATCAGGATCGGGGAAGAGATATTGGAGATTCCCCAGATTCTAGTAGAGAGAGATCTGTGGAAAAGTTCTCCAAATGCCACGAGAAATCAAAGTATGTGCAACTGCCCTGTACCTTGTATTCTTTCAAACAAATGTTGTTCATCTGCCTTGCTTGATAAACAGGTAGGCATGAAGAATTTTGTGTGTACCATTTCTCCTTTTAGGAAAAGTAAGAAGAAGCGCTCTCGCTCGAGTTCGTCTTCATCTTCCTCATCTTCCAAGTCCCAAAAAGAGGATTTGCCCCATGGCAAGTCTGAACCCAAAGATAAAGCCTTTGACAGGTCCCGACTGGGTCAAAGGGAGTCACCAGCATTAGTTGAAAGAGGAAGGCCACGTGGAGGATTTGTAAGTGTGATGCATGATGTTGATAGAGGAGCGTAGTTTTGAGCAATGGTTGTGTCAAATTACACTGTACATTTTACTTTCACAATTTGCTGTATGAATGATTTTTGGTTTCTTGTCTTTTTCTCTGATTACAGCAAGTTCGAATTCGTGGAAGGGGCTGGAACCGAGGCAATTATCAGGGAAACTGTTCACAAAGTAACAACATGCCAAACATGGCAGTACACCCAAAAAATGAAGACTGGGACCCAGAGTACACTCCCAAGAGCAGAAAATACTACTTGGTAGGGTTGATGTCTTTCCCATTCATGCCTCCAATGTCTGTTTAAATTAACCACATGGTTTTGTTTACTCTAATCTAGCTCAAGTTTCTACTTCTGCAATTGAGTCCTGCACCTTTTGGAATCTCTGCCAACTTCTTCCTCACTGTAACTATTTAAATATGCCACATGCTAGGCTCGTCTATGTTGAAAAGACGCTTTTGTCGCTTTTATCTTTTAATCATGTTCAAAATGTGGTTGTCTTTTAAACATAGACGAGCCTAGCACATAGCATATCTACAGGAGAGGAGAAAGCTGGCCGAGGTCCTGACCAAGGTTTGCTCAAGTGTCACTGGAGCACAGGATGGAAAGGGTTGGGACTTAGGAAGGGTCAGTACTTGTCTTGACACACCTCAACCTCTTCTGCCTTTCCCACAGCACGATGACAGAGATGGGGAGACGATGTTCAAGTTGGTGGACAACAGAGGGCGAGGACGGGGAGGCTTTTTGCGTGGAAGGGCACGATTCCTCATCCGCAAAACCAACACTAACACCATCAGCCCCAAATGGGCCCATGACAAGTTTCAGGTCAACGGGGAGCAAGGTGGCGATGAGGAAGAGGAGACAGAACAGGACCATAAAGGAGAAATTGATGGAGAGAATACTTGAGTAGTGAAGCAATGTGCTGAAAATCTCAATTTTCTTCTGTTATTAGGGGATCTGACTCTGAATTCTATCCATCACTATGGATTAATTAATTCAGATTAAAAATTTTAAGACTCAGCTATCACTAATAAGACTTTTATGCTTTAATTTCAGCGTAGGATACTCATTCGGACTTGAGCTGACCATTTTCCACACAAGGATTACAACTCATAACTAGTAGAAGCACTGTTTCAGGGTGAACTGCTGTTTCTCATAAGATTTCAGATTATGTTACATGTTTTGGGTTTTTTTGCTTCATATAGTAAAGTGAAACTTTTTCCTGGGGATTTTGGTAGTATTTACACGTTGATCATTAAAAAAAAAAAAAGAGAGTCCTTAATGACATTTGTATTTTTAAGTAGCAAGAGAAGATCAAATTGTTGATCAAATCAGCTTGTGCCTTGCAAATAAAGAAATGTTTTGTGAGTGGGATACACAATAAATATGAGTACTGATGAATGCATTAAAATCTACTCCAATTACAGAACTATGAGTTAAAAAAAAAAAAAAAAAAGCAGGCTTGTTGTTTTGAGATGTGTCTTGTCTGGATTATAATGACAGCAAGAAGTACACTGTAGTTCATGTTGACATTGAAAACATCACTGTTTAGCCAATTCAGCGCTCCACAATGACCCTGATCTGACAATGGGACCAAACTGTATGGGGTTGCAGGTTACACTTGCAGTCTTTCATTACACAACATTCAACAGATCTACAATACTAGCTTGCAGCATAGGAGAGCGTTACAAGGATAACTACCTGTACATTTAACATGTTCATTAAACATTTTGCTGTCAAAGATGTCTATACTTTAAAGTAGCGCTTTGATTTATTTTGGATACCACTTATCAACGTATAATATTGATGGTGATTATATGTTTTCCTCCAAAGACATTCATTGTAGTTTTTGTACCTGCTTAGGCAGGTGGAATTTTGACTTTGTAAAGGAGAATTTGTTCTTAATGCTTTAGACTGTGTTTTTCATTTGCTAATTGCAAACATTTCTCCAGCTAATGATGATTTAATCAATTATGTAAATGTGTTTGCAACTGTGTCATCATTGTGATAAAAGAGGCTAAAAATTAGCACATTAGTAGATTAGTAGAAAAAAAAAGAAATACAGGGTAGTGTGTTTGACAAGAATTATAGTTTGTCTAATCTTAGAATAACAATATTTGTTTAGTGCATATCCCCAATGATTTATTTCCTTAACCCTAGGATTAGACTCACGTCTTTTTGAGAAACTGCCCATACAATTGAATTACACCATTTTTGTGCCTTGCTGTGGTCACACTGGTTATATTTGTACAATTCAGGCCTAAAGATTAAGATTGAATGGTTTAATGGTTACCTGCTTAGGGAGTATTGCTTTTATAAAATAGGTGTTGTTACTGTTTTTTTTCTTAGAGACTGTAAATTAAAGAGACACTGATTACTTTAATGTTTGCCTTGATGTCTTTTTTATTGTAATTTCTCTTAGGTGTAAGAGCAATTCTTTATTATTTGAAAATCCACTTCATGGCAGTCACTGTAGTTTTCTCTTGGGAACACTGAACACATAGTACAATCAACAGTACAGTTGATCAATTATACTATGACAAGCTGTACCCATGTCCTAATGTGAAACAACAGTACCCAGACCATGGGGTCAGGTCACTTTGATAAAAGTCCTTGATCAGTCGAAACAATCAACACGCTCACCTACACAATGTTGAACTAGACTGAGAGGACTCATTTATTAACATTCAACAGGGAGGATGGGGAAGTACTTGAGTGGAACAGTTCTCTGTATATGATAATTAGTCTGATGACCCAACATATGAAGTTGAGCAAAGGAAAGGGAAGCAGCATGAATTTCTACATCTACAGCCTATAATGTAAGAAAGTGTGTTTTATCTTCCTATATTTATTTTGTTACCATTCTTTGCCATGTGTTATTTTGGTATGTCAAATTTACTCTTGCGCAGCCTGGTTCTGCTTTCTATAAATGGCCAGCCAGTTTGCCTCAAGGGCTGTACAAAAACAACAGCAACATCATTACCGACAAAAATACGAAGATATATGACTGAGCACAACAAACCTGAATTACATTGTAATTGTCCTGCTTGTGAATGCTGACTTTTGTGTTCAGATATTTCCATTGCTGCAGATGAACCATGTTGTCATGTTTAAGCCTCACTTATTATAAGCTTTGTTCTTTCACTATAAACCTGTCTTACCTGTTCTTCTCCATTTCCTCTCTCTCCTCCTTCTCTCTCTCTCTCTCTCTCCCTCTCTCCCTCTCTCTCTCTCTGTAAAATATGACCCATCCTACTCCTTGCTACAGACTTGCCATGACTAGCCTCAGGAAAAGTTGCTCAATGTTAATGTTTGACAAGTAGGAAGAAGGGCCTTGGCTGCCATATCTCTTCGTCTTAGACAACACAACCGCACTTTTTCAGTTCTCCTTCTACTCAAGAGTTGGCTTGCTGCTTTGTGAAGGAATTACATATTCAAATCTGAAGGAGAAAGACACAAAGACACCATGGGTAAGTCGGTGTCATCATATTTTCTTATGTAGGCCCAGTAGTGGAATTTACTGATGTTTTAATCCGTTCAGCTGTTTGCTGGACTTTTGGAGATTTGATAGTAAAACACAAAGAGTAAGCGTGAAGTAATGAAAGTTATTTTGTGACTGAACAAAATGCTGTTGATCTGATAGATTAGCATTGTAATTAGCATTACTTTGCATAGAATTAATGTATGTATTTGTATATACTATGTGTTTCCTGGAAAGTTTTCAATCGCAGACTTTTAAGATTTACTATTTTTTTCAGTTGTCTTAAATTCTCATAAAGCTGCAGGGAAATACTGACTGAGAAAATGTCTTACTTCTTTTACTACGAAATAAGAAAACTGTACAGTTAATCTGTAATTTGCTCAAAGCCTATATCCTTGGTTGTACTCCCCTGCTTAGAGGTTTGTCTTGGTTTTAAAATGTCAGAACAGATCACTTGTAAAGCAACTACACCAGCCTTTGTGCAAAGAATCTAATTTTCTGCCCCACTTACGGTTGCACTGTAGAGGTGCTGGTGCTGATCGACTTCGAGGGCAACATGGCAGACGAGATCACAGTGAGGATGGGGGATGTGGTCAAAAAGGTCACCAAGGCCAGCGAGGAGGGATGGCTGGAGGGCGAGCTGGGAGGAAAGAGAGGCATCTTCCCCGCTAACTTTGTCAAGGTCTGCTAAGGCTATACTGGCCACAGCATTGCGCAGACACTGTGCTGTGTGTTTATGTGTGTTCACGTGTGTTAAAATATGCCCCATTTTGGTTTTTCATTACAGGAGGTGCCAGTCTATTTGATAGGTGACAGCAAGAGGGAACCACGAAGCCTTAGAAAAAGTACAATGCTAAGTCTAAATTCTCAGCACTTCTTCACTGTTATCACTTAGAAATTAGAACATACATATTCATATTACTACAAACGTCCATGTTTTGTCACATTTTATTGCATAAGTGTGACACATTTGAACCGAGACCTTTATCAGGCAAATACTTATTTGCAATACAATATAAATTGTATTCTTCAAAATAAAACATAACTATTTTGTAGGCAAACATCTGCTCCTAAATGTAACTTTCCAACAGTGGAGTGAACTATTATATCAGTTTGTTGGGAGATTGTATCAGTGACTTCAAATGGCATCATTATCTCCATTTGGAATGAAACTCTTCATTTGTGTCAGGCACATTATATCATTTTCAGAGATTATTATATTACATTTAATGTACTCAGACTAATTATCCAGTTAAAAAATCTGCACACATTGGAAAATAAACCCTTTATCTTAGCTTGCACTCAAAATAAACCATTAAAATATTGCTATTCAAAACAGGTTGGTTTTTCTATTGTAACTGTGTTTAAAATTGTGGTTAGTGTGGTGCATGCATTCAGCAAGACAGTGCAGCAGCAAGCAAGCTGACTGTAAATATATGTTTACCACATCCTCGCCACACAAATCCTGATTATAATGTATGAAAATGGAGCAGATGAAAACCAAAAGTGCTTTTGAGGGCTTAGACATGTTAGAGACGTGAATGAGTGCCAAGTGCTTACAGTCCTGTTGAGAGCTGACTCCTCTGCCTCCTGTCAAGCTAAACACACCATTATTTAGCTCTTCTTTCTCCAACAGCATTACCAGTAGATTATAAAGTTTACATCGGTCTGTTGATGTGGCTGGTGATTCTTTGTCTTTCCAGCGAAGAAGATGAAACATACGAGGAAATGCCAGGTAGAGTTTGCCTACAGCCCCATGAATGAAGATGAGCTGGAGCTGAATATTGGGGACACCATAGAGATCATCAAAGAGGTAGAGTCCCATCTCTATTTGAACTCACATAACCAAATAGTGAAAACTCTGGTAGCCTACTGTTTACTTACCCAGAAGCATGGCATTTACCTCCTGCTTGCTTTGCTGCTCAGTAGGCAAAGCTGTAGCATTATATGTAAATCAGGGCGTTGGTGAAAGGCTTGCTCAGCCTATCGTCCCTGGGTAAATAAAGAGAATTTTTCAAAAGGTATTCATTAAATCTTTGTGTATTACATTCTCCTTGTATTCGGCCGCTAGGGTGACAAAGCATGTTTCCCGTGCTCATTAAATGCATGTGAACTGATCTGACAAGTTCTGAGAGTTCAGCCCATCAAGTAATCAGATGATCGTAATGTTTGGAATGTATACGCTTTGTCTTTATGTTTTCTTCCTGTCTACTTTCTGACTTTCCTTGATATAATCTACACAACAGATTGAAGATGGATGGTGGATGGGGCTGAAAAATGGCAAAGTCGGAGCATTTCCGTCAAATTTTGTCAAAGAAATTTTTTCTCCTAAAGGTTAGTAAAGACAAAACTTCTGTTTACTTTTTTGTACCTTTTTCTGTACATATAATCTAAACTGTTAAACTCTTTTCACAGATGGCAAACAGAATGAGGGCAAGGCAAGACCCAAGCTCACTGATATGGTGTTCAATAAGGAGGTATGTAATGTAGAAATAACGTTTCTGATACGTATATGAATTGTTTACTTTTGACTTAATGTACTTTGTTTTTGTCCTCATAAAGATATCTCAGAGGGCAAGTGTGAGGAACAAAGCAAGAAATGGTACGTTTTTTTTAAGTCACAGCATAAGCTGCTATAAGGCATTTTCTAGTTCTTAAACTGTTTGCACAATCATGGGTTAAATGCTAAAGGGTAACCCTGACATTAGACAGTTTCTATTTTTAGTGCAAAAGCAACTAAACAGGTCTATTTAGACACACTGTAAACATGTGAGAAGCGGGAATTCCTTTACTTCTATGTGAATGGTTTACAGGTGGGGTCAAATAAAAATACTTACAGTGACGTGGCTTGATTAATCACTGTTACAGAGGGTTGCCTCAGAGTGGAATATCTTTTAGGGATCAAGGTTTACAACTTTTATCTCCAGTCTGTCACAACCTCTTTCCGGTTATTCTTTGAATTAGTATGTGAAGGTTGTATCCAAGGATAATTAGATTAGTCATCATCTTATTCCTGTCATACATATACTATAATGCTCAGGTTGTCTCTTTTACTGTCTTCTCAGTGGTTGAGTGTTGCCAAGTAATGTTTGACTACAAGGCCAAAGCAGAGGACGAGTTGGACCTGAAAAAAGGAGATGTTGTTGTGATACTGAAAAAGGTTTGAGCACACTGTTATTTTCTTGCATTGTTTCTAACATGTCTTCCCATGATGTCATGCTTTTAACAGACTCAAACTCCTATGGGTGTCATTTCTTTTCTTACAAAGTAGTTGCAGGTGTATCACATTGTTCGTTTAGCCTAACCAGTTGTGTCACTTTCAGGGAAATTTTGTGTGCAGTGCAAAAGATGACGCACATTTGTTTTAATGACACGAATGTGGCAGTTTTCCAAATCATATGCTGAAGATTTCTGAGATACCTTCTGTGATAAATTGATAATATGGCAGCCATGTCTTGCTTGACCGCTTGGTAACCTCTTGTGCAGCAATTTCACGTCCCAAAGGACAGCGCGTTTGAGCTTCTAATGTGACTCTTTAATCTCCATCTGAAGGAAGCAGAAGATGAAGGCTGGTGGGAGGGAGAGCTAAACGGACGCTGTGGCTTCTTTCCTGATAACTTTGTCATGGTGATACCACCAATGGATAGTCTGAAAGTGAGTGGACTAAAACACAATTCTAAGAACATCGTTGTTGGACCGGACCTTTCCCATATATTCAAGATTTGACAATTGCACTGTGCTACCATGAAGCTTTGGACCTGTTTTATAGTAATTCATATCCAATTCCTTTTCTATCATTTTGAAATTGTTTAGAATATACAGAATGGCAGTTCTGCAGCTGGCTGGTGATTGACTTACTTTAGCAAGTCCGCAGCCAGTATGCAGTGAGTCAGGGCTGTCTTTAACATCCTCTGTTTTGGAATTACTCACTGAAAATTCCCTTAGTGGAAAGAGTGTGAAATAGAGACTTCACAAAGGGACGTACATGGCAATCTGTTTGAGTTTTACGTTTCTCCTCCTCTAGTCCGGGACTGCAAGCCAACCACCTGAACGCAACGTAGACAAGAGACTCTCAGGTAAGAGCGACGGCATTTATGTTGCACTGATCAAACACAGCAGCTCAGGAATAAATGAACTCAGGAGCTACCAGGGTTCTTGTTTTAGAGCTTCTCTTGTGATTCAGAACTGCTGGCTGCAGTGGTGTTTAGCCTGGCAGTGTGACAGTCTGGACTGTGATGGACTGTTGTTTTAGCAGATGGAGAAATTGGCAGCGATATTGGTTGGATTCAGCATTTGGTATAAAAGCAGCTAAAATGGCCCCCTGATCAATGTCATTATTTTAATGTGCTACCAAAGCAACTTGAAGCTCTTTCAGTATAGTTCCCCATATGAATTAATTACATTATTTCTTTATTACTTCTGTTTCCTCTATTTTCATATTCAGCGCTGAAGTTTTCCTACAAGTGTCCTTGTAGGAAAAAATTATACTTCGTATTACTACTTCATTTATCTGGCAGCTTCAGCTTCTAGTTACTTCAAATTCTGAATACAAAATATAATCAACTAATAATGTAATATTATAGATAAGCTACCCAGCAGTATGTAAGGTACATTGGGTATATTTTTATATTTCTGCACTGTGGTATTGCAATGACTACCGTTGAATCCACTGCGTTATCAGAACATTTTACCATCACTGACCTTAATAAGTTTCGACACCCTGTTTATTTATCATTACATGAGAAAAAAGACTATTTTCACTGAATGTGCAGATGATCCAAAACAAAAACAAACACACACACACACACACACACACACACACACACACACACACATTTTGTCATACTGTGTGATACGCCAACTTTGAATCAGTATAATGATATTTGTGATTTGTGGATGGTAGGTTTTCTTTGTAAAAGTTTACATCAAAATTGCTAAATTGTTGTTGTCATTGCTCAAGTAATCTCACAGTTTTAGACAAAAATTGACCTTAGTTTGGTAATTAAAAAAAGAGATCATAACATTTGAAACAAGATGTAAAAATAAATTCTGCAAGCTACACAAAGCAGGATGTGGCTTCTGTCAAGTTTCAGCTGAGGAGTGCTGTCTGTGGTGCAAGATGCAAATTTGGCTATTTTTTTAACCAACAAAACAAAAATGACAACTTTAGACTTCCAACACTTTCCTTGGTTCGAAATTCAAAATGCCTACTCATCAAAACATTTTGGGGTTAAACAGGCAGGTGCAACTTTTAACTGACTGAATATCAACACAGAGTCTCATCATTTATATTGCCACCACATTATACTCCTTGCAGCATTTTTTCCACTCAGTATAACTCACAAGAATTTCACAGGAAGTCTCAGACTATAGTAAGATGGGGGATGGTTAGTCTGGTCATGTGACACAGTTCAGGAGTCTTGGAGGAAACAAGGGGGTGGGGGGACGGAGGAGAGCTCTGTCACACAGATTTTCACAACCAGCACAAGAAGCAGCACTTGAGCTACTACTGCTGTGGGGATGTTTGCTTGAGAGGGAATGTTACACAATGCTTTGAACACTCAAGGTAGGCATCCTGTGTTCTCATTTGGTCCGTTATGCATCTGAGTGCTAAGCATTATGCAAAGTACTATGTTCTCTTTTTTTTTTCTTTTTTTTTTAGGCTATACAAAGACCATTTTTGCTTCTTTGATTTGTGATTATATCTATTAAGCAGAGCTGTAACCAATTCCACAAACTCTTCTTTGAAATACACACTTGACTTGCATGGCAAATAGGAACCTCTCACATTACCTTCAGTTCACTGAAGCTTCCTAATTCAAGCATCTAGTCTCTCAGTCTCCACGGCAAAGTCCTCTCAGGGGCTGTATTTTTTTTTCTAAGCCAGAGTGACTGTCCCTGATTAACTTTCCGAGACCCTTGGGAACTATTAGTGCAGTGCTATTGGATACAGCTGTGACCAGGTCTGCTCCAGTAGTGTACACAACTTTGCCTTCCCATGCAACTGCTCATAAACTAGATTACAGTTTAATTAAAAACACAGTAGCATTTTTTCTTCATCACATTAAACTATAATGCTTTCTGGGGCAAACAGATGCAAATTCTTCTCTTAGCTTGATAAAATAAACCAGCTTATTTTTACTGGCAATGTTATAGTTCTCCTAAGTCATGTCATTGAAAACAATAATACATTGTCACAAGTGGTTATGTCAACATTATCAGAATAGATAAAGCGTATCAGTACTTTTCTTTATTACAGGGGGAAGACACACCTGCATGAGGTGTGAAAGCTAACTTTAATATACCGAAGGCAGATTTTCTGAGCATGCATGCACCTTTTGGCAACAAACCTGCTCTTTATTCATACTGGTAGACACAATGACACCTGGGAAATGCCCTGCAGATTGAGAGCACCTTCAAAGTAGTTGCTTAGAGAAACTTTTAAGCTAGTCAGTGGACTCAAAGTGAATATTTGCCTGACGAAATCCCTACGTAGGATGTCACTCCTTCGTTGAATGCAGCAATTCTGTAATTTTAATATTTTAATAAAGTATTATTATTATAGTAATAAATATTTTATCTAAAGTGCAGCCCAGTTATTTACATACCAAATGCGACTTTGTGGTAATGGTTATTTCCCTACCCCTGTTGCAGTCAAGACAGAGGCCTCAGCGATGGAGAAAGGTGGTCTAGCAAAGACAAAAGGTATAAATGGCAGTGGTTCTTATTATAAATATAACTGAATTGTGATCCTTTCAAAGATCAATAACGTTTTGGAGTAATGGGATGAATTTGCTTTACAGATGATAAACCAGACAGTAAAGACCTGAGAAGCAATCCTCCAACCAAAGTCAAGCTTCCACCAATCAACAAGCCCAGCCCGCCGCCCGTCAAAGACAAACCTAACAAGGTTTTACCCAAGTGAGTTCATGCCAGAGCATCTCTGATGTTGTCTCACAACTAATCTCCATGCAAACCTATTAAAGGCTTACTAGAGAGTATGTCTTCCAACTTGGGGACATGAATAGTGATTCATTTGCAACCTTTCTAAAGCCAAAGGACTTTAGGAAATGTCAGGAACACTTTCTCCTCTTTGGTCTGGCACCGGGAGCGGCGCCTTTAGATGTTAAAGGTTTTGGTTGCCGCCACCGGTTGCCATGGTGTCCTTTAAGAAGAATGCCAGGATGCCCGACCTTTAGCGGCTCAGTGGAAACTCTGGGATGAGTCAGATCGGGCCTAAACAGACGAGAGCAGCCCATTTCCTGTTTCCTGAGTAAAACTCACACAAACAGGCACACACACACACAACTGAGAAAACAAAAACGTCCCTGTCCTGAGGGGGCTGCTAATGGAGAACAAGCTTTTTCTGAAAATTGTTTCCAAGCAAGTGGGCTTGGAAGGGATACCTTTCCAGCTTCCTTAAGAATCCTTCTTAATGTGTAAAAAGCTCTATCTTCTAGGCCTTTACGCCGAGGCTGATTATTTATAAACCCCGTATCAGATCTTACCAATGCATACAAGTTATGCAGTTGAGTTGTGACCCCTGGAGATCTGCCATTACTGTATATATACTGTGAAAGTCAAACATACGCCAGGCCAAAATAAGACATACAAAGAGACATTAAGACTGTAGCTGCCATGCTCTGCACCTGCAACCCACCAGAGTTTAGGAAACTGGAAACCACACTCTTTTTTTTTTCTTTTGAGAATGTGAACAACAGCCTGTGCACCAGTTTCCTTTCACCAAAGATGTTAGGAGACATTTTTGATAAATCCACCTTTTGTTCTCTACTTTTTATTAACATCAATCAAAGTTGACATCAATTTAAATCCTAACATCATACTCTTATTTTCAATAGAACCAACGGCGATGTTTCATTGAAACAACCAGAGGAGAAAGAGGTCGACCAGTTTGATGGAGTGGATTTGCAGACTGAAAAGCTGAGTCATCCTACAGCAAACAGAGCCAAACCCCCGCAGAGAAGACCACCATCAGGCCTGGTCGCAGCAATCCATGTTAGTGACAGACTTGATTTATCACTTTTTTTAGACAAATTTTGCCTTGCTTGAAATCTGAACAACAGAAGTGAGCAATTACATAACGAACACTTCACTGACTCATACTCGATAAACCACAAGGCTAGGGCCAACTACCTTTTCTGTAGATGACCTTTGCAACTTAAACTATTACTGCAACAATGAGGCAACTCCCTTTTTTATCTTGTGCATACTTGTCAGGTAAAGGTACTTTTTTGCAATACAGTTGAGCAAGATAGTGTTTCTTAAAATGAAACACATTTAGTAGTGCCTTGCATGTCTAGGTCCATTTTGTTATTTGGTGGTGTTTGCTTTGCTGCAGGTCAAATGTAGTGAAATATATCCATGTCAAGTTATTTCCAGTGCAACTTGCAATTGAATAACAGTAAATGTTTCCTAACCTATACCATAAGTGGTAAATGTTAGAAAAAGGGGTTTTCTAGGCCGTACTCATTTTCTAGACTCACCCATTTTGCACTACGGTTCAGCAGTCATAAAAGAGAAATCGTAGCAAGAGAGGAAGACATAACAATGTCTGCACTTGCACATCTGCCAAGATGTGTTTGAGCAAGAGAAAAGTCCCTAGTGAGAGACACGTTCCAGTTTTCATGAAATGCTCACATGCCAACATTACACCAACAGCAACAAGTTCTGGCATGATTTCTAGGGCTTTATCGAAAGTAATTCTAGGAAATTATGGAATTAATTCCTTAAAGTATCGTTTGTTAATGGCTGCCACAAAAGACAGCCCTAGGTGTTAAGCCGACATTGGAGAAAGAGAGTTCTTAAGGTAGATTGTAAGGTATGATTATTAGCCACGTTCGCCATTAAGGCTTGGCATTCATGCTCCTTTACAGGCGGCTCAGAGTGCCACTGACCAGACAGAACCAGAATTATCGCCAAAAAAGTTCCAGACAGAGAAATTAGCTGGCTGGCAAAAGGTTTGTGACATTTCACCTACATGACAAAATATTTTGGCATAAAGTATGCATAATGTCATGCAAAGCCACCTATTTCATTGCAGGGTACAGAAAATCTCCTGCCCTCACCCGCAAAGCCTGATCATCGACCCAAGACGCCGCCTCCGGTTCGACCAGCACCACCCAAAGTAGTTGTGGATGGCAGAACTGTGACGCATAAAGAAGAGCCAACTGTGGAAAGCCTGCAGGTTGAGATCAAAGAGCTGAGGATGGCTCTGGAGCTGCTACAGACGCGACATGAGTGAGTACTAAAGCTGCCGTATTTTTCTAAAATCTTTTCGCCTTGAAACACATAGAGCAGTGTTTCTCTTTTTACACTGTGTTCCACCTCAGGAAATATTAGGCTCTCCCATACAGTATTCACAGGCCGACCCTATTCAGCTAGCTTTGATCTGTAGTTCTCTAATAGTTCCCATTTGGAACCGCGATTGCAGTGTTTTGGAACAATTCATTTTATCTCTGCTCACTATCTCGCCACATTTTAGCTCGTAACCAATCACAGATGTTTGTGTGCATTACATGCTTGAACGATACTGGAACAAAAATATTAAAAGGAAATATAAAACTTATTTTAAGAAGGCGTAGACGGACTGTCCAATCCCAAATGAATTTCTGGTGTTGTTTGTGGACACTGGCACACACAGGAAATGACTAATCAAAACCAAAAGGAGCAATTCAAGCTGTGTACTAAACACGAGTGCTCTATCCAGAAAAAAAATAACTGAACTGAACAACGTTTAGATCTTCTGCTTCTCGTCTCTTTGATTTGCCTTTAATATGAAATATCACAGAGGCCTGGTCGGTGAGAATGTGTGCAGCGCAAGACACATGATTTCCTGGCCACTGAGCTTGTGATTTCAACCACAGTAGCATTAAAATGTGAATCTACAGAGAGACGTATATTGAAAAAGCACAAGTCCTTTTCTGCTTAGTAGCATGTTATTTAAAAATATACATCCGCTTAAAACACCTACAGTACACACCCACAGTCCACCCACGCAGTTGCTCTTGTTGTCTGATTAGACTTGACATCTCCCTCACTCTCCTGTTAGTTTTGTTGCCCCCCGGTGTTATGGGCCTCGAAAGGTTTTTACATGAAAAAACAGTGTGAACATAGCTTGCTCAAATCAGTGCTCCATAATGAATGTTTTTTTTTTAATTTGTAGGTGTTACATTTTCAAGCACAATTTTAGAGATAAATTGTAATTTTTTTCAGTCAGTTCCTAGCCTCCTTACCTTGTTTTGCTGTCTTAATGAAGCTCTCTGAGCTCCATGACGCATAAGACAATCCTTCTTAAGTCCTGCTTGCACTGTTGAAGTGCACTATTTCTTACTCTATGCTGACTTTTACATGGTAATATCTGCTGCTGGTAATCAAGCTACAGACCCTTATTGTAGCTAGTCATGGTAAAAGTTGGCTTGCAAGGTTTTAGATACCTTTTCATAGTGTCAGTCACAGTATTTAAAATATGTGTTGCCAAGTTATCTGTAAGATAATCTTTCATTCCTCACAGTAATACCAGCATTTGAGCTGACATTTGCTCCCATGTTGACCGTAAAGTGTCACTGTGCCACCTCAGTCATCGTATTTAAACTGCAATAGCTGATTTTGGCCACTTTGGGCAGTAGAAACAACATTCACGTATCATCATATTGCAAACATTAGCTCATTTACACATCTGGCAGATACGAGCAACATTATCATTCATTTGAAGTCATGTTCCTGGGCATGAATGCAAGCACAATATTAAAAGATCTATTGGCAGAATGGTATGGTATGTTTTGATGAGTGTATAATCACCTGAAAATAAGAATTGTTGTGTTTTCATTATCTTAGCATTAGACATTTTTATCTACAGAGGGAGCGAGCGCTCTTCTACTGAGCCCACCATGTTGAACTGTCATGTTTCTACAGTAGCCCCGAATGAACAAACCAAACACAGGCTCTAGAAAGGGCCTTGTGCGTTTTTCGTTTATGATGGATAGAGTGCACTATGACAGCGGTGAGAATGAACCAAAACAGAAATTTAAAATGGGACATCATTACCAAACATTCACGTTTATTGGCAAACCCTCCAATCCTCAAAGGACAATAACACAATTTATTTTGCACTTCTAGAGATTAATTAGAGGGATTAGGATTGAGTTAATTTCTGTTTTGAGATCATTTAGCCTCACTACAAACAATTCAAGTCACATACCTTCATTTATTCATTTGACTTAACTGGTAGTGTACATGGTGACCTATTTAGATAAACCCATGTCTGCAAACACTTTTTGTTTCTTTCACCTTTGATCAGACGAGACATGCAGGAAGTGAAAGACGAACTGAGGGAGGAGGGAAACAAACGACAGGCACTGCAGGTCAGTGAGGCATGCCTTGAGTTTTGCATTCATTCGCACTTGCTGCCTGCTGCATACTGCCACAGGAAGGCATACAGAAGTTGTGGTTCCCAAGATCATGACTGTAATTGATTGTGAAAATCTTTCCCATACAGGAGGAAGTGCAAACTTTGAGGATGAAGCATTAATCCCAACGCAGACTGTGACTGGGCTGCCTGTCTGACACTGTGATAAGATAACAAGATGAAATTTTTTCTGGCTTGGAATGGGGATGGAAAAGACAAACAAGCTCTCCCAGTGCAGACTCATTAGCGAGGGCTAAAGTAGAAAACAGCTGGACATAACATCAAGCTAATCTTGCACTGGACTGGTGAAACTTCGGACAAAGACTTTTAAATGATGTACTGTTAAAAGTTTTACATATTTGAATGCTGGAAATCACAAACATTGGTTCTTAGTGGGTTTAGCTTTGTTGCAAATTTATGTTTTACACTGTTCTGTTTCAACTGTCCTTTTTATGACCTTTATTATTGGTTTATTGTACTTTTAACATTTGACAATTAATGCCTCAGGCAAACAATTAATATATGCAGCTGTACATAGGAGGAAATATTGTGATGTCTTTTGCAAAGACGTAAAATATAGTTTTAAAGTCATCCAAAAGTGCATTGTTATCTGAATGTTAATACCTGAAATACAACTGTCGAAAAACATGGGCTGACATGCAGGGGATTTTCTACACCAGATTGTAATGCTGCATCAATCCACTGGGGGGCACTGTATGACAATTCTACATGAAGAGAAGTGCTAAACCTTTCAGTGAATGCTGGATTGTTCGAAATGAACTGGCACTAATGACCTCACATTTGGAATAAAAAGGAGCAAATGTGTTAAGATTAAAGATTTAAGCAAAATGGCTGATGTTAATGGATAGCGCATGAAACACAATCTTACAAAATTGCTTTTGAAATGCTACAGGAGTTACACAGAGTTTGTGGTCAACTGCATTTTTTTTTTTGCAGTCAAGTCGAAAAGTCATCCACTGTCACTCAGAGAAAAACGGACTCACTCTGAAAACTCTGAACACAGTGACTCATCGCGATGGATCTAAAGAACGTGGGAAGAGAATTAATGACAAATTCTTTGCAGCCACCATAGGGAGAGCCATTTAACTTATTTGGACTGCGCCATCTTCAGCATAATGCGCATAGATTCGGTCTTGGCTCCAAATGGTGGCGACTGTGGTGGTAGTGGTGGTGTGCTCCTGTCTAAGCCTACTAGCATTGCCCACTGTAAAGCACATCTGGACGACATCTGGAGCTCATCAGGGACCGGGTGCTTCTGAAACTGCCATGGGAACATACTATTTTTAAAAACCGTGTTGAATAATGGTCATTAAGGGTACATTCCCTCTTGGACAAGGGGTGAAATAAATTAAACTAAACAAACAAAGGATTAGTTCATAGAGACATTTTCTGGGGGGGAAAGCCATTTCTGTTCTGCCCTGCAAACACAAGTAAAGATTTTACTTTTTCACTGACAGACCTCTAAAATATTTAGTAATGTCAATGATGATGGCTGCTGCTGCTGCGCTCCAATAAATTATAATACTTAAATATTTGACTCACTACTGTAGGTCTCAGACAACACTAACGCAGCACAGTGCACCATAATGTAGGAGGAATTTAGGACAAGTAAAGTGGAACTGTGTGAAGTACTGAAGACTAAGCGCTGAAAACTGAGGCAGTTTGGAGCTCAGAGGTCAAATACAAAAAAACTCCTCAGAGTTAAAATTAGAAGTAGAGAAAGAGGAGCTGAACTGACAGAGAACAGTTCGCCTCTGTCAAAGAAAGGAGCTGGGCAGATGCAGGAACAAATGCATGACCTCATGGGAAATGGCAATAAATCTGCAGCATATTAAAAAAGTCTGTCTTAATATGTAGACTTTTACCGAGAAGAATCAAAAAGCACTCCCAAAGTACTGCTTTTTGACTCAAAAAAGTTTCAAACTTGGCTATCATGGTAAAATGTGATTAATTTAGCTATTTAAAGAAGTGGTTAAATAGCATAGATGCAGCTATAGATGTTATTATTTGTAAAGGCCATTTCTGGAAACAGCCAAAAGACCACAAAAGACAGTCTGTACTGCGCTCGTCTTTGTAGAGATCTTTCCCACGCCGTGTTGTGGTTGAGATTTGTGGCTTTGCCTAACTGGATTTCCCTCATGTTGGTGTTCACTTAATTTTACTGATGTATTGTTTCATAACTGCGTAATTACCATGAGGCTAAAATATGTTCCTTCTAATTACATGTGATCATGATTACATCCTGTAAAATGGAAAAAGACACTATTCGAAATACTGAATCATGGGTATAGTAAAACATTATTTGGGTCCTATGATTTTTAGGTAGACGTCATTTTCAAGAGGTTTATACAAAAGATAATTATGCAGCTACTTCAAAGAGTCCGCACCGTCAACGCCACTGATTTCTGAAAGCCTGTGACCACATGAGAGGCTTTTTCAAGACCTCAACAGAGAGGTCTTCAGTGTGGGCTCCATCTAAAAACAGAGCGGGGCCCCAAAGCAAACCTGAAGCCTGTCTGCTCCTCCACAGTTTGTACTTCGAGGACGACTCCACGGCGGATGTTCTTGGTCTGCTTCTATGTCCAACCAACATTACACCAACCTCACAGCACCGACGTAAGTTTCTGACTCCAGATTGGCCAACAGAAAGAATGTGGAGCCATGCCATACACAGATGATTATTTAGTATATTTTCCCTTTCATATGGCTTTATTGACATGCCAAGAATTCATACCTCATACATAACTTGTGAATCACCAAACCACTAAAGCTTGACTTGTGATAATGTCCAGTACAAACACTCGCCCAGTGTGGGCAGTTCGTCAGCATTCTTTAAGTCATTATTGGCGGCACAACAATATTTCAGTCCATCGACTCACGTGGAACAGATTTGTTATGTGAAAACAGACAGAGTTGAAATTGGCCATCAAATCTCTGACCTCGTCCCTCCCTGCGAGCACACACCAGTCATAACACCAGAGTTTTGTGAGTGACATTAATACACTCTCCCCAAAACCACATTATACAGAGCCTGACACCAGGTATTATGTGCTATGTGTAGGCCATTCACCTTGCAAGGCACCACAGACAACAAAAGGGAATATACTATCTAGTGAAGCAACTTCTTAGTGTGGGCTGGTAGTGGTTCCTGTGTGGCCATTCCTAAACAAACCTCCAATCAGGGAGTATACAATTTAGAAATGGAGATGGCTTCTCGTATGAAATGTTTGTGACTAGCAGCACCATCATCCAGCTGAAACATTTCTCTAACCAAGCCAAATATGAAGTGTCTGAAGAAAATGTGAAAATGCGTCTTGTCTTGTGCGTGACAGAAGCCATACTGTGTTTCTCATGAAGCCAATATTACAGTATTAACAGTGCAACAGTTATGTAAATAGGCTGTGTACAGGATGAGTCATGTTTACATGCCAGATGCCAGTGTACAAACCACAAGCCCCCCACAAACAATGTCAACAACGTAGAAGGAAATATGCCACAAAATTATTAAAGCCCACATCAAACGCATCAAAGCATGCCAAACAGTCAGGAGTGAAATTGAACTCAGCCACAACAGGGAAAAAAAATAATTATTAATTACCGGTAACTTAATTATGTTCACAATTGCTACCAATGCAAATAATTCACACATATTATTAACAACATACAAGCAGAAAATGGCAGCTAGCATGAGAAAAGAAATTAAGAACCAACTAATTTCAGCAACGTAAGAGTAGAAACAACAGCCAGCACACACAGCATCAATATAAGAGCAGAAACAACAGCCAGCACACACAGCATCAATATAAGAGCAGAAACAAACAGCCAGCATATACAGCATCAATATGAGAGCAGAAACAAGCAGCCAGCATATACAGCATCCTTGCATGCTAAAATTGGCTATTTATCACTGAACTCAAATTACAGCTGAGGCTGATGGGACAATTAGTTTTGTAGGTATTTAATTGTAAATCCAAGTATTGACAATTTTGCCTGCATGGCTGCCAGTCAGAGGATCACCAAAGTTACTAGGATAAGTCTGGCAACAATGAATGTACAAAATGCTGTGCCAATCTAACATATTATTATGATCTAATAAGTACTTAAAACCAAAAATGTTAAATTGCTTCTGACACTAGAGGACCAGTCAGGAGATCTAGAGTCATAAGGATGTATCCTCTGTGAACCAGGAAGTAGATGTTGGGAATTAGATAATAGCACTAACATGACTAACAGTGTATTTGCAGTAATGTTTATACCAACTGTCCTGGCAACCCCTCAGTTGAGATACTTTAGTCAGGATCATAGTGGTGTGTAGAACAACTCACCATCCCTATGTAGAGCTAAAAAACATTGCCAAGCACACATAAACAGCAACCTAACACAGCTAATTCACAAAACACATGTCAGAATTAGCAGCTTGTGCTGAGATACTATTGATAATAGTGATGAGGGGGAGGCAGCAGTCAACAGGTGAAGGCAGGAAGTGGTCTGTATGGAAGGAAGATGAGACCAACGGCGGGGGACGAGGGACGAAAATGTGGCGTTTTTAATACATAAAACCGTTCTTATAGTAACATGACTGGACTTTCAGGCGATATGTTTGTCAATGAAACACAACAGGAGCAACAGTTGAATGAGTGAACAGGTGCCGACAGTTTAAATGGACCGCCTTCACACAAAGGGTGCGCTTGATTTATGTTACGGCTGGTACCGAGTATTCCCTTTGGGAAGGAAATTACCAGACCTTTACTGTCAAAGGAGACTGTTATGGAGTTCCCACAAATTTTATTTAAAAAAAACAAAACAGAAACTGTATTTCTAACCTTTTAACAAGAGACATTGTGCAGAAATAACAAAAGACAAAGAGTGACCTTTCCACGAATCTTACTAGCAAATTTAGGCTCTCTCTTTATCTTGATTATAAATCCATGGCCCAAAGGTACGCAGAGAATGAGCACTGTTGTATGTTTCTCTGACATTAAAGGCATTATGAAGAGAAACAACAGTAAATTATTTCAGCTTAAAACTTTAATTCTGTCATTTCCGTTGGTGGAATTATCCCTGAAAACACAGACATGGATTTAATGTGATCATAAATTAAAGACGCCAATTTTAATTGTCTTTACATGCTCTATATGTGTAATCTGACAACCCCAAATTGATTGATATGTGCTTGTTCAAACAATGTAATTTCCTTTTACAGTGAGAGTGTCTTCTTGGAGAAATTTCAAGAGCTGTTTCCCCCACAAACTCACCAGTCCAGAGGAGAATTGTCCTTTCTGCAAACAAATAATCTTCATTGCAACGTACAGTACAGGCCTACATTGTCTTTACATCTGCTTTCAATTTGACTTATTACATACATTAGCCTAGTTGTTGTGTGCTTCTTCATCATTAAGCGCCATACATTTTAATAGACAGATTACTTCAAGTGTCCATCAGCTCCCACATTCATACTGCATCTTTTCCATATGGATTAATCAGTTTTTAAGACACCTCTTGGTTTAAAAGTGAAAAGTCAGTTAAAAACAAACATTGCTACATAGGAAGTGCAATATCACAGTTCAGCTCTGTCAGAGCCAGGTATTGGCATAAGCGTCACATCACTGTTGTCCTGTTTCCATGATGTTGCATTGTATCTAAAACAGGCTCTCGAGTCTTACAGGCTTTAGGGACCTCTTGCCTACCCAAAGGTCTATGTCTGTCCTTCACAGAGCTCCCTTGAAGCCTTGTGTATCCTAGTAGTAATGCACTCTTCCAATAGTCCCTGTTCCCGACCCCAGGATATCAGGTTGGCCATTTCTCCAGATCTCACGAATGATACGTTC